TTACAAAATTATATAGAAAAAAAATAAAATTTCAAACAATTTGACCCGAAAATAATAATAATTGCATAGTTAAATACTTAAAATAAATACCTACTGCAAAAAATAAAATTTTATATATATATATATATATATATATATATATAAATTACACCGTTTTGACTTCATTACTTTAGTCAAATCATTTTTTATTTGGATAATATAAATAGAGTTATAGCTAAGTTATGTATGGGGAAACTTACATAAATATGCTATACTAAGAAAATATCTATCATTTATAGCAATAACATTTTTTTTTATTTGATCACTTTTAATACATTTATAATACAATTTTAATACATATTACATAGAACAATTTATAAAACATATATAATACAAGTTTTATTGGTTGATAGTATATTTATCATATATTTTAATACACTAATAATACAATGTGTCAATTTCTTACCAAACAAGCGTAATATATTTTAAAACAGTTATAATTCATATATATTGCATACATAATTCACTTTTAATACATATTTCAGATTTATCATAATATTGCTATATATCGCTATAAATGATAATTAATAAAAAGTATCGTTAAAATCAGTAAGTATTTATTAAAATGTACCCATATAAGTAATTTTTCATTTGAGATAAAATGCACAATGTATATTAAAAAACAAAGAGTAATATAATTGGAATACATAAATTATTATATTAATTATGTGGCAATTAATAGTTGAAAAATATTATATACTTAAAAGTCAAATTTTCATTTTTTCTTTCCTTCCACGTACCTAAAAGTGAGCCAATTCACGTTCTTTGTCACATTAGCATCTACAAGAGTCGAGGCTTTCAAATTACAATGTTGAAGGGGGTAACTAGAGTAATATATAGGCTTTAAGTATGGATTAAATAAAACTTGTTAAGTTCGAAATGATTTTGATCTATTTAGCACATATTTTCAGATTTTACTTTATTCAGCTCATTTTGTATAAATTTGGAAATACTTGGATTTTTTTGTTCTTAATTTGCAATTATGGTTTTCATCTTTTGATGGTTAAAAGTTAATTGATAGTGATATCCGTATTTATCATCACAAATTCAAACATTGATAGGTCAATTATCGTGAAAAATTTAAACTCTGTTGTGGAGTTTTTTATAGCTTAAAAATTTATGAAGAGCGTTTTGTGATGTCCCAATTTAAATCGCCATAAGAGACAACCTCACTAAACCCCGATTAGGGGTGTACATGACCGAGTTGGTTCGGGTTTTTCAAATATCAAACCAAACTATTTGTGTAAAAATTTTATATTTATAAACCAAACCAAACTAATAAAATTTGAATTTTTTCGGGTTTTTCAACCTCAGGTTGGTTCGGGTTTTTCAAATACCAAACCAAACCATTGTGTCAAATTTTTAAATTTATAAATCAAACCAAACTAATAAACCTCGGATTTTTTCAGATTTTTGGATTTTTTCGGTAAAATTTGCATACAAACATATAATTAACTTGTGCTCCAAATATTTCTTTAGTCCAACCAAAATACAATTATCTAAGGTGTTTCTTAAGAAAATAACACAAAATATGAGCTGAGTACTGATGACACTAAAATATTCAATAAAAAATAATAATGAAATCATCATATAAAATAAATATTGCAAAGTCATAATGAAAATGATCATAATTTAAAGGGAAAAAGGTTTGAAAAATACTTTTAACTTTGACCGAAATTGTTGTTACGATACCAAACTTTATAGAGGACCTTTTAACCCCCTACACTATTTAATAGTGTATTTTAAAGGTATATATGTACCTACGTGGACATCATAAATATTTCATCATTATAAATAGTACAGTGTCCACGTGGGCACATATATACTTTTAAAATACACTATTAAATAGTGCAAGGGGTAAAAGGTCCTCCATAAAGTTTGGTATCGTAACAACAATTTCGGCCAAAGTTGAAATATTTTTCAGACCCTTTTCCCTAATTTAAAAGTACTAAATCATGCTAAATAAGTTTAATAAGTATTAGTTACATTACTAAATATTTAAGGAAAATTAAAATTAGATTATGTACTTTAATTGTCTAAACCAATGTAAAACTAAAGAATAAATATTCAATATTATTGTCATTCTTAGTGTTGAATTGATTTTCTTTTTGCATTAGTATTAATTTGATTTTAATTTAAGTTTTATTATAATTATCAACACCTATGAACTATAATATTTATTGGACCATTCCGAATTCTAAGTTTTAAACTTGAAATAATTTATTAAAAGATAAAAACTATGAAATAGTATAAGAAATATTTTAAAATTATATCAAAGTAAATATTTTTATGTATAAAATAAAATTTTAAAATTACATATATAATGTCGGGTTGATTTGATCTCGGGTTGGTTTTTTTAGTTAAAACCAAACCAACCCAAATATAGTCGGGTTTTTTTCCCAATACCAAACCAAGTCAAAACAAACCACTAGTCGGACTTTTTTTCCGGTTTGACTCGATTTGCGATTTGATTTGATTTTCGGTTCGGTTTTGTACACCCCTACCCCCATAGAAGTTCCAATCGTCAATCCAATACGAACTCAACTAAATCATTTAAAGGTAACAATCTCATTAATTAAAGCAAACCATCATAACAATTAACAGTAAATATGCAAAAATAATTTTCCTAGAATCTAAAAGTCGTGTACCTAAACATCTAACATAGTCTAGAATACGGGGATGCAACCCCAAAAATGAAATCTAAATCCGGACAATGGACTAGAGGGATAGAGATGAAATCATGGCAGCCCGAAAACAACTCAACCTTAAATGCAGAAAGTGTGAAACTCAACTGAGGTCGCGTAGCAATCGCTGAAATATGCTTTGTACTCAACAAAAGAATAGAAAATGTAGTATCAATACTCAAAATCAACAGTGTATTGATAGGATCATCAGTGAGCTCCAAATATATAAAGTGCGAACAAGTAACGGAAAGTTAATTAAACAAGAAGCCATACATATATAATCCAATCAGTCTTAGCAACCACAAAAAATATGTCCAACATCATTACAATCAAATAGCCTGATTCACTCTCCAACACAAAGACAAACAATTAACATGTACCAGGCGTGGTATCCGAACCAACCAATATATAGTCTATACCAGATATGATACTCGAACTAGTCAATAGAGAATCTGTAACAGATGTGGTACCCGAATCAACTAATAGATTTTTCATACTAGGCGCGGTATCCGTGTCAATCGATAATTTATACAAAATGTGATACCCAAGACAATCGAGAATCAAAAATATCACACAATCACAAACACAATGAATACAACCTCTTTGTAGATCACTTTCAGTTTTCTTCCATTGTAACTTTAGGTTGTCATCTTCTGCTTTACCATAATGCTTTTTGTTTTTGTTAACTTTTACAAGTAATTGCATTATGTGATTATGCTCATTTATAATGTAGTTTGTCTTTCCTTAACCTTATTATTTAGACTGTATTTTCGTGTATCAATAGGAACATAATTTGGACTTTTAATATCAAAGACAAAATTTTATTCATTAATTATTAGTGTGATTGTGAGTTATGATGCTCCCTTTTTAAGTACTTTCAAATTCTTCATTAATTTTTAAAGAAAATTATACTAATTTTTTGTTTTATATATATATATATATATATATATATATATTATTATTATTATCATTATTATTATTATTATAAATAGACGCGCAAAACGCATATACTTAACTAATTGTCCAAATATAAATTCTTTATGATAATTTAGCATTTAATAACATAGTCACACAACCATATTTGAATGATGTTGACCAACTTTTTATTTATTCCATATGTGACCCAAATAGCTATTTCTTTTATTAATTGTTAATGTAATTGTGAGTTATATTGTTCCTTTTAAGTACATTTTTTATCTTTCAAATTCTTCATTATTTTTTTTAAAGAGATTATACTAATAATTTATTCTTTATATATATATATATATATATATATATATTATTATTATTATTATTATTATTATTATTATTATTATTAATGCAATACACAAGCAAAACACATACACTTAACTCATATTGTCCAAATGTCAAATTGGTTATGATAATTTAGCATTTAATAACATAGGCACACGATCATGTTTGGATGAGATTGACCAACCTTATATTTATTTCATATTTGATCCAAATAGCTTTTTTGACCTTATAGATTAGCTATATATATTATTGTTAATATTAATTAATTAATACAATACACATGCAAAACACATACACTTAATTAATATTGTCCAAATGTCAGCATTCAATAACATAGCCACACGACCATATTTGGATGAGGTTGACCAAATTTTTATTTATTTCAAATTTGACCCAAATAGCTTTTTTGACCTTATAAATTAGCTACAATATTATTATTAGGGAAAAATGTCTGAAATATATCTAAACTTTGACCGAAATTGCTATTATGATACCGAACTTTGGAAATGACCTTTAACCCCTCTACACTATTTAATAGTGTATTTTCAAGGTATATATGTGCCCACGTGGACATCATAAGTACTACATCATTATAAATAGTAATGTGTCCACGTGAGCACATATATACCTTTAAAATATACTATTAAATAGTGCAGGGGGTAAAGGGTCATCCATAAAGTTTAGTATCGTAACAACAATTTCGACCAAAGTTGAAGTATTTTTCAAACCATTTTCCCTTATTATTATTAATTAATTAATTAATTAATTAATACAATACACTTGCAAAACACGTACACTTAACTAATATTGTCCAAATGTCAACATTTAATAACACAGTCACACGACCATGTTTGGATGAGGTTGACCAACTTTTTATTTATTTCATATTGACCCAAATAGCTTTTTGACCTTATAAATTAGCTACTTTGGAGCCTTCTCTTTCGGTCATTGTATTGTTCATACACTTACACAACACTCTAAGCTACTGTTCCTTTTAAGGCAGAGAAGATACTCCTTTTAAAGATGGGTAGAAAAATTGAAATAAAGAAAATAGAAGAGACGACGAAACGTCAAGTCACATTTTCTAAGCGACGTAGTAGTTTATTAAAAAAAGCTGAGGAGGTTGCGATTTGCTGTGACGTGGACGTGCTGTTTATCGCGTTCTCACCTTCTGGTCGGCTCAATAAATTCTGTTGCCAACAAAGGTATTGTATTAATGATTCCGACAAAAAAATACGAATTTTCCGTTATGCCGTGCTAGTTATTAATCTATAAAACTATCATCTTGATTAACTTTTTTTTTTTTACTAAATTTACACTTTTGTAGAGTTGAAGACATGCTTCAGCGTTACCTTAAGCTTCCGGTTGAGCGGAGATTGACGTACATGCATGAACATTTCCTAAATTTTCTTGATTTTTTTTAGCTATTAGTAACTTATAGCACTAACTTATGAGTTTTTTTTTTCTTTTGTTGGGGCTAGTCACATGGCCGATGTTAAGGTACTTTACTCTTTTATATATTTATTATCGCTACGTATTTGTAGGACTTTTCTATTTTCTAAAATTATGTTTTGTTTCTATTAATGTGGATTAATTCGTCTAATCTTTATATGATGATGAAATTTGCTAAAGTTTGAAACGAAAATTAGTACTCGCGTTCTTACCCATTTCAATTTTTTTTTTTTTCCATTTTAAAAAGAATGTGTCAAGTTAGGGCTTGAGTGTAACCCGTACCTCAAAAATAGGAGGATTGTCCAGACTTTATAAGGAGCCCAAAAATTTATTTATTCACTGATGTGGGACACTTCATTCCTTCATCACCCCTTTACCCCCAGATCCGAACATTCTTTATCTATGATTTCACTATATCACCCCCTCATACCTAGACCTAGACATTTTTATCTGGGATTCTATGGTATCACCCTCTGAAGCCTAGATTTGGATATTCTTTATTTAAAATTTCACTGTTTGATCCAGAGTGTGACATTCATGGATGGGGGGGGGGGGGGGTTCCACCCCCACAACTGTTCCATTTCCTGAGGCCTACATCAAGTCTGACTCTTATACCATGTTTAGTTAAGTTTTAGGCATAACTAATTACACCTCAAAAGCTAGTTCATAGGAGTAGGATTGTCTAACGTTTTTTAACGAGACCAGAAGTTTAGTTATTCACCAATCTGGGACATTTAACGATCTTTCAGCAGAACATTTTTTTTCTTTTTCGATAATTTTTTAATTTCAACTTTCCACAACACATGTTTATAGCCACAAAATTAAAGGATATTTTGACATATTCTACCTCTCTTTAGTTTAAGATCATACGATACAAAAGTGTTATTAATTTATTAAATTGTATCAAGATGAAATCAGACAAATAAATTAAAATTGAGTGTGTATTAATTAAAAGATAATGAAAATGACATCCTCAAAATCAACGAAATACTATGTGATTTTTAACTTGTTTTAATTCATTCAACAAAACAAGTTTGACTTTAGTAAAAAAGTGTATAATTGAGAGAGTTGTCATAATTTTTTTAAATTATTGATATCTATTTGACCCATTTTAAACTAGTTTTAATTCATTCTTTTGGGTATATTAATGAAGGAGAAGGTGGCAAAATTGAGACAATTGAATCACATCAGAGGAGATGTTAGCAAGCTACACCTTCTTGATAAACAGTTTGGATCTCCTCTCTTTCTCACATTTTCCTTTGTTTACTTTATTGTCTCTCTTTAATTATATTGTCTTTTGATATTATTTACAACAAATGTAAATTTAAAAAGTATGTGTATAAGAAGATTAACGAACGACAAAATGGAATGAAACAGAATTATGAGCTTTATTTTAAAAGAATATTTTGAAAATTAGAAAAGATATTACGGATAAATGAATTAAATCTTCAATTAAATTAAATGTGCTAATAAAATGAAAATCTATAAATTGATAGGGGTGACAATTTAATACATAATACGCAAATAAGTTAATTTGACTAACTTATAAACTTGAATAATCATATGGATATTATTGTTACTAATATTATTATTCTCCATATTGTATCAAAGAGATAAAAAATTCGGCCAAAGCATAATTAACAAAATTTATTTTGACCAGGGGAAAATATAGACAAGCATATGTGTAAGTTGACATAATCATCACCACCAACAAGAAGCTCGATATAATCTCATTAGTAGGGTTTAAGAAGAGTAAGATATACACAACCTTATTTTTACCTTTACAGGATGGAGAAGTTGTTTCTGACTGACCATCAGACATCAACAAACCTGCTGCATTATATTATTTAAGACTTAAGACTGATAATATGAGTGAGCTCAAATATGTCGAGTTACATAAACGTTACAATATTTTGATTTATTGAAAATGTTAGATACTACCTAGTACCTCATACTTGATTTCTTTTGTATTAAGTGAAATTCACGACTCTCTCACTAATGAATTAAACTTTATCATGATGGCTGCCTTTGGATGTTTCAACCTGTTGCCGGTGTTTTAATTTCTACAGGATTGAGGTGAGCACAACTTAATTTTATGTCTCTATTATGAGTTGTTTTTTCTCTTTTCAATCTACCCTTGCTATTCTAATTAGTAGTGTGTTAATTAAGTGTGACTTGAAGTAGAAATTAAGACTAGTCCAAATAAATGTTAATAAATCATTCTAGTACCAATGAAGAAGGTTGATAAAGTCATTTTAACTTGAAATTTTTTGATGTAGAATTTGGAGCTACAAATCAAGAAGAGCACATTGGAATTACAGATTGTGGATGCTAACATAAGGTCATTTGATTTAGTATCACAAGTGTTTTTCTTATAATTCTTCTTAATTATAATCTCATGGTTTAATACATTGACATCACCTTGATCTTTCACTTAGACATTTATATTATAGAGTATTTCAATTGTCTAAATGTAATATTCTGCCTAACAAGATGATTATGCAGGGATTACGAACCAGGAGCAGAACAAGAGCCTTCTCTTCACCAACTCTGTTGGTGTGAGAGTAACTTGAAACTCTCTCTCCAAAAAATCTTGGCTAGAAAAGTTTGTTCTTCCACCTTGATTTGTCATTGAAGAATAACGCGAAATTACAATTTTCAAGAAAATACTTATTTTTCTTAGAAATAATGTAAAATCCCAACTAATGTCAAATTAATTTTGATTAGATGGAATTGGAGAAACAAGGAAATATGGATGTTCACTCTGTTGCACAACAAATGGCTCCTCACCAGTTTGATACTAATAATTGGATTAGTCCATTCAGGTCATTAATTTTTTTCACATAATTGAAAATTTTTCTCTCCTTTCTCCTTTTGGTTTCATTATTTCGTTATTATTACAGTTCAACTATTCAAAATCAAGATTGGATGGACAAAGGAAAGAGAGTAGCAAACAGTTCTAGCAATTACACATATACCCCTTCCTTTGCTAGTACTTCACATCTAGGGAATATGTCATTTCCTCAAAACTCATTGCCTTTTACCCCATTGCAGGTAACACTTTTTAGGATCTCCTAAAAATTGAGATATTTTCTTTTAAAAAAGTTGATATTATTTATTTTATTTGTACAATAGTGCCAGCAACAAAACATGATTGTCGATGTTCAGCAGAATCCATTACAAATATTTGGACAATCACAAGTATATTAATATTTTTGAAATATTATTTCTTATTAAGATCTCCTTGAAGATATGAGATTTTTTAATTTTTTTGATATATTATTTTATCTGCGAAATAGAGCCAACAACAAAATATGGCGGTAGATGTCCAGCAGAATCCAACACAAACATTTGGACAATTACAAGTACATTAATATTCTTGATTGTTAAGATTTCCTTAAATAGACTATATTTTTTTTGAATTTTATATAATTATTTTTTATCCTCACAATAGAGCCAGCAACAAAACATGGAGGTAGATGTCCAACAGAATCCAACACAAATATTGGGACAAGCACAAGTACATGATATTCCTGAAATATTATTCCTTGTTAAGATCTCCTTAACGAGATGATTTTTTTTATTTGAATTTTGATATTATTTTTATATGTGAAATAGAGCCAACAACAAAACATGGTGGTAGGTGTTCAGAAGAATCCAACACACACATTTGGACAATCACAAGTAAATTAATATTCTTGAAATATAATTTTTTTGTTAAGATCTCCTTAAGAAGATAAATATTTTTTTGAATGTTGATATAATTATTTTTATCCGTTTAATAGAGCCAGCAACAAAACATGATAGTGGATGTCCAGCAGAATCCAACACAAGCATTTGGACAATTACATGTAAGTTAATATTTTTGAAATATAATTCTTTGTTAAGATCTCCTTAAAGAGATGGGATTTTTTTTTTAAAAATTTTGATATTATTATTTTTATCTGCAAAATAGAGCCAACAACAAAATATGATGGTATATGTCCAACATAATTCAACGCAATCATTTGGACAATCTCAAGTACATTAATATTCTTGAAATATTATTTAGTGTTAAGAACTTCTTAAAGAGGCAAAATATATTTTTTAAATTTTGATATAATTATTCTTATCTGCACAATAGAACCAACAACAAAACATGGTAGTAGATGTCCAGCAGAATTCAACACAAACATTTGGACAGTCACAGGTACATTAATATTCTTGAGATATTATTCCTAAAAAATCTTATCCCCTCCCTCCCCACCCTTGTTGTTAAGATCTTCTTAAACAGGCGAAATATTTTTTTAAATTTTGATATAATTATTCTTATCTGCACAATAGAACCAACAACAAAACATGGTAGTAGATGTCCAGCAGAATTCAACACAAACATTTGGACAGTCACAGGTACATTAATATTCTTGAGATATTATTCCTAAAAAATCCTATCCCCTCCCTCCCCACCCTCCCCACCCTTGTACTAAACTAGTTAACTCATATTTTGCAGGCACAATTGACTTTTGGTGAAAGTAGTGACAACTCTCTCACGAATTTCTGGCACAATATTTGCGCTTTCACAAGGTTTCTTTCGATATTCATACATTTACTTATTGTTCGCAAGATAATATTTTATCTGCTTAAAAAATATGATGACATTAGAATTATAACGATCAATGCATCTAAACTCTATACAAGATCAAATTATTATCATAAAAGAAACCACATAAATAGTAATAATATCATATACAATAAGTCAACGAAATACATTTTATTATTTTTGTTGGTATTGTTGTTCTTTAACATTGTCTCTCTCAGGTATGGCTCGAGTCCACTCGCAAATACGGGTACACAATTGAGCACTCCCTCCCAATTAGGGTTGGAGTATGCCCATTCAAATTGGAATATCAACTTGAACAATAACAACGACATCAATCATATTATTCAACAAACTGATCAATCTTCAATTCAAAGTAATGCAATAACTTCTACTGTTAATGGATTTAACTATCCCATAGAGGTTAGTTCAAAGCTCTATTATTATTATTATTGATTAATTAACTTTATTCGTTTGTTTATAAATTTATATTTGTGATATTATTCACACAAAACTCACTTTAAATATTTTGTCACAATGATCAGGGGAATACCATGGGAAACAATGAATACTTTGCTGAAACAACACATGAGAATGATGCATGGGAATGGGATGATGTTTTCCTCAATGAAGGTTTCAATGGAGATGACTTTTAAATTTAGATTGATCAATGAATGTCAAACAAACTTTTTTTTTAATCTAGTTTCTTTATCTTTGATCCATTTTAAAGACCACAGACTTGATGTTTTAGCTTTTTATTTACTTATTTCAGTATACAAGATATCATCTTTATGTATGTAGGGTGACCTATATATATTAAAGTGAATAACAATAAGTACCTATGAGTGTTAGAAATAAACTGTGTTAGCAACATCATTTGTCTTAATATACTTTTTATTATTATAAGTTGTCTATTTAGATTATATGAAGATGGTGCAAGAAGCTTGGAAACAAGTGGAGGGATCACCTCTATGAATTTTTTCTTTGATTTGGAAGAATACTTGTTGAAAGATATCTGGTGCAATTCAGTTTAATTTAAACTTGTTTAAAATGCTTCTGCTTTAATGAACAAAGACATCACCTAATAAATAGGTTTCACCTTATATGAATTTTGACATTGAAATAAATAACTAATTCAACTTCAAAATAGGTTTCAGCTTTGATACTTTGGCTTCTTGCTCAACAATTTTGAAAAATATGACTTATCTTTATGTCATTTACAAGTTTGGACTTGCAAATTCATTCACAGTTAACATACATGAGTTTGTCTTGAAATTGCATACATAAGACACCTTTGGGCCTAATAAATCTTAAGGAATCTAAATTTCTCTTTGCAAAGAGTTAATTCTAAAGAGTTGTTAATCCAAACTATGTAATACCAAAATCCTATTCTGAGATTCATTTTCTCTTATGAGAATGTGAAAATGTAGTTGAAGACTCACTCAAAAAAACTGTCAAATAGGAGGGGTTACTAATCCGCGCTAATTGTTGTAACGGTGGTTTTCAAAACTCTCCAAGTTATGTCTGCTGCAATTAATTTGTTTGGATTTTTTTGAAGACTGAACAATAATTTGGGCGGTTATTTACTTCATTTTTCGTGGGTTATAGATCGCCATATATTCATACATGTATTTTTTTAGGATACCTCTGCAATAATTTGACCAAAAATTAACATTTAATTTTTATATAATTATATTACAAACTAATATAAATGTTAGTAAACTTGTACATTATGCTCATAATAATAACTAAAGCACTAGGAAATTTTTTATAATTGAAACACTAATATTTTATTAAATCATAGAAATTGTCTGACTTAAGAATATTCCAAGTAAGCAAACTCTCAATGCGCTTGTAAAAAAATAATTTATTCAATACATTTTTATCGGCAATAATGAAATTGAAGACATTCAAACATGTTTTCATTTTTTTTTCCACAAGCTTTACTGCAAAAACAACAAGCTCGTGAAAATAAATTTCCTTTTGTCATCTTCTGATTGGATTTTCTCCATCGGCAACCATCACTAATCTGCAAAATTTTCAATAAATGACCAAGCTTATTACTACTATTTAACCGGTTTTGGAATCCACAAGAGCAATCTACACAAAACATTTTCAAAGCATATTCAATATGAAAGAAATAATGTTAAAAGAGGAAGCAAAGAAACATATGAAAGTAAAAATACCTAATTACTGAATGAATCAATAGACAACCAGAGATCGGGATAAGATGTCAAATATATCTAACTTGTGACACCAGATTTTATGTCCATTTAGAATTAAAAGGAAATGAATCATAAAATTCAGCAGCGCGCTTACCTTGATGTTGACAACTTCTCTTGGGACATTTATATTCAGAAAGCAATTATATATGAGGATAAGACTTATTAGAGATCTCAGCTTCAATGCACAATGTGAAATCATTAACATTGAATTTTTCGACCAATCCTAAAATCGACAGTCTCATAAAACCAATGAAAAATTAACAGCTCTATCAGTATAATAACATGTATTTATATGAATACAAATGGCTTTGAAGCATAGCCAACTTGCAGTTAGATGGACCATTTTATGGTGCATGTTTAGCAGCTGCAACTTTGTTGCTTTCTTTGGCCAAACAAGCATCATGCTTGCTAGAACTTGGTATAGTTGAGGTATAGGTTTATGCTTTACTCTTTTTGCAACATGAGAGATACATAATGTTGCATCTTGATATACCCAACAGTGACTAGGGAACCTTATATTTCATCTCAATGAATCCACCACAGATGTGTGGGCCATTCCCTATTTCCACTCAATGAATCCACCATGAATGTGTGACCCGTTCCCTATTTCATCTCAACCACACCAATATCATCACAGTAGTGGTACAACATCAATGCAAACACAATAGTGCAAAGATCAAATATGAGGATGATAATTCAACATCAATATCCAACAACAAACAATCAAAGCATATCGTCAAGTGAATCATCTCACTCGACCAATTGCCTACAATATAATCAAGTCATACAAATCAACAAGATTCTAGTTATAACCCAAGTTGTTTAACAAGGTCACATCATCAATTTACAATACACAAATTCTCATATGAAATCCCTTCATCAATTCCCATTACTCCCAATCATACAATGACATTCAAGGTTCAATAAACTCAACGAAAAGTCAAGAAGTCCACTTGCCTTAATTAATCAAACAATCACTCTGGAACTTGAGCTTTCCCCTTTTGTTGAGTCTCCAATTCAACACAATCTATTCAAATAAGTAATCACAATAAGATTTTGGGACTGTTAGCACCCATATCAAGAGTTTTGAAAAATGAGGTCAAATCGACCCAAGAACCCAATTCCAAAAATGAGGCTAAATCTGGAAATTTAATTAAAAATTCTGTTACCCAAACCATTTGGAAACCAACCGTGAAAACCAAATAAAAAATAGAGCTGGAATCATTCTTAAATCATCAATTAATCAAAAGCCTTAAACATTTTCAAAAACCTTCAAAGGTTGGACCAACCACTCAATCTTAATCACCAAAATCATGAATAAATCAATGGGTAAACGAGTTGGGGGAGTTAGAAATAGTTACCCAATTGATGAATGTTGAATAATCCTTTTGAAATCGCCAAAGCCGAGCTCTCAATATTAAAAAAAATGGTGAATCGGGTTGAAACCCCAATTTTGAGAAAACATTCTGCCAAGGTGAAAATTACTCTACACGATCGTGATGACCAAGGCTTCAAGATCGTGATGACTTAGAAGGTCAGCTCATTTATTTTGACCATTGTGATCACGATGTCCAACCACACGATCGCAATGATTGAAAAAACTAAGCTATGCGATCACGGCGGTCATCCACCCGATTGCGATGCACACAAAACTAACCCTATGCGATCGCAAGAGAGGATGCCATGATCGCAAAGAACAAATCATACTCCACCAAAAAACACAAATCAACAATTTGCAGGAGGCACAAAATTCCCAAATGGACCTTTGAGATTCATTCGGAACCCCGAGTTCACAAACCAAATATGCTACCCATCTAAACTCAATGTTCTAGACTTAATAAAACCATTGAAAGATGAATCAAGATAAAGCTATTGAATCACGCCCAATGCCAAATTTTACGTAATCTTTCACATACCAAGTTTCAACTACCATTTAAACCGTCATATACCCCATGCCAAAACTTAGAGAAATTCTTTGTCACTCCAATAATTCTATTTATCATAAGCACATAACCTCTATTTACCATCAAGTATCTATGTAATGCATCATAACATTCTGGGTAGTCCCATCAACATAGTAGTTTCAAACCCCTTGAAATCCTCAATAACTATGTAGAACTGTAGGTCTATACCATATATAGCACCCCAATAAGCCATCTACCATAATTTGAATAACCCAAACCAACATAAGAACGTGGAATCTTCCATATATCATTGTTTGTTACCCAAACCAAAACCCAATCTTCATAAAGGTCGCTGATAAACCCCTAGTAAGTCTGTGCCAAACCAGTTCAGATTGTATAGTCATATCTGAACTCAAAGACAAAAATCAATACAACCTTCAACTTCAAACAAAGGGTCTACACGAGATGTATTAATATTCCTTCACTTTTCTTGGATTCTTCCTATGCTGTAAATTCCAAATACCTTGAACTTTTTAATATACGAGACTCCTGTTCCTTTCGCTAAATCGCTTACCAAGCTTATCCTTTAACCAACAACCCATGTGAAACCCTTCCTTATATCCTTTAACAATAAAAAATAGCAAATATTACGATCCAAACCATGAACGCTTGAAACCTAGCTTTTCTCTTCTTGGAATCTTGCTCTAATTTTATCTATGCCACACCCCGAGGCTACCCCTTGACGCGGACACGGGACCTAGAATCACAAGTGACCTCAAGCTAACCCTGTTGGCATATCATAAGCATACTAAAGATAAATTGAAGTAAAAGAAATACTGTGCGGAAGCTAAATCATCATGTAAAATGAAATGATGGGGAATACCCATATACTATCTGAATAAAAGAAACTGAGAGTTTGAATACAAATGAAAAGTCAAACTCTAACACTAAAGCTGAAACTAACTATGTCTAAAATAAAGCCTCTACTGATTAGAAATGTTGGGACATGCCCCAGCTAGATCTATCAAAATTGAAACTAAAGCTAAAAGCAAGAAAGATAATCATGTCACTAGTCCGCGAATAATGAGGACTCACCACTGATGTTGCTGGACTGAAGATCGGGAACCGATCTATGGGTGATCTGATTGCTGAGGACCTGAACCTACATCACGAAAAGATGTAGCTCAGAGTATGCGTCATTACTTGGAAGGTATATATTGAGCATGCAGGATAGAGTAGAGATGAAAAAAACATATAACTGGACAAAGCGATAAAACAATGATATAATCTGAACATGATACTATACTGAAAATACTGAACATGGCTAAGCTGAATGCAATGACCATGTTTAGAACATGCTAAGACTGAATACTGAACAATACTGATAACATGGTCAATGCAATAGAATATGACTGAACTGTAAGGGAGCTACTAATAACCGACATAAAATCACATTAGCTAAATGTGGAGTCCAATGTATACGCCTCATCGAGATGACCCAATATACCCTGCCAGAGGTATAGAGGT